AGTCAAACTCTGGAAAAAATCATCATCTGGAGCCTCATGGATCATTATAAAAATTCGAACGAAACTTTTGCATGCTAAACTCAGGCTAATTTGGTGGGCCTTTATTCAAGCTTCCGACCACAGTCTCGAGTATCGGTGGTCGCGTGGTGCAGTAGAGAGCGCTATCGCCTTTCACCAAGAATGCCGAGGTTCGATTCCTCTTTCGGACGTGTACGTGCGATCGGGACACGTCGGCACTTTCCGTAAATGATTCTCGTTTGAGTGAAAATTAAACCTAAATTATTAACGTTGTAAATAAATTATCTTATATGAGGGCATCTTGTTCTTTTCATTATATTTCACTGACATAAATAAAAGATTTAAAGTCGAGCCATGTCCTATACATTAAGAGGGCATACATTCGCAATATCAAAGGGAACTATGCTATTCGTATTCTTTTTCATTATTGTGAAGTAATTTTAAGGAAAAAATCATCATAATACAGAGAGTACACATCTATATTGAGTTTATCGGTTTTTAATATAAATCAATACGTACATATTTCCGTCGCCGACAAATTTGTAAGTTTGAATTGCAGCGAGTTGAACATACCAGACTTTTGTCTTTTACGTTACATTCTTTTGGTAAGTTGGCAACGTCACTAATTTTGTGTTAATAATTCCCGTAAATCAGGAAACGTAATGCAATGATTTCTAGCTGACTTTAAATAGTGTTTCTTTACTTTGTGAACTGAATATGGTCATTTGATGTAGGTACGTATACTTTCTGTATCTCAGCTATCAATTTCTTCATTTATATAACTTTAAGTTGTTTAAACTATTCTTCTCTTCTTTTCACCGCTCTGTTTATGGAGGTAAACTCGCTCGTTTACATTGTATGTAGCGAAATTGGACTGGGTTGCTCGCCGGCGACCAGGTAGCTCCATTGTAAGAGCGTCTGTCTAGAGTTTGGAGGGTCCTGGGTTCGAACCCCGGTCGTGTCGTGCATTTCCCGCTCCTGTTACATTTAGTTCCGTGACGTACGTAAACGTTCACTCTTCATCCTTCTTTACAGTGAATGTTTGGCAAGATAATACCAGAACAATGATTGTAAATAGTGTTGTCTTCCCTACAAGATACAAGATACAAGAAACTTTATTTAACGTCGCATACAGGTAAACAAGGAACATTAGCTCTTGAGAGCTATTATTGCGACAAACATATGTAAAAATAACAATATCATATTATATTACAAGTAAAGGGAGATAATCACATATATTAATAAAAAAACACCCAGTAATAATCATCACACAAAAAGAAAGTATACATATCCCAGGTTTCTAAGTGATTGGGAGTCTCCTACCTACAAAGGCCCCCGGAATATATATATAAATAGTGTTAATATATGAAAAGCATTAAATGTGATCACAGTATTCAGAATAGGTAAATAAAAGACATAGTTAATAGTGAATGAATACTTGTATATCACACAAGAATTACTTAGGACTTAGGATTAAAACACTATGAAGTGGAATATACATACAATGCTAATATAGCAAAGAATAAAAATT